GCCTCCAAGGAGCACTCTGGCTGCACTTCTTCCAAAATGGATCTACTGGTTCTTTTGGCAGCCCATGTCACTTTCAATATTCTCCTCCAACACCAGAACTCAAATGTGTTAATTCTTCTACGGTCTTCCTCATTCACTGTCCAGCTTTCACATGCATATGAGGTGACTGAAAATAGCATGGCTTGGGTCAGGTGCACCTTAGTCCTCAGGCTATCTTTGCTCTTCAATGCTTTAAAAAGGTATTATGCAGCAGATTTGCCTAATGCAACACGTCGTTTGATTTCCTGACTGCTACTTCCAGGAGAGTTGATAGTTGATGCAAGAAGAATGAAGTCCTTGACAACTTCAATCTTTTCCCCATTGATCAGAATGCTGTTTACTGGTCCAATGGTGAGGATTTTTGTTTTCTTGACATTGAGATGCAATTCCTAACGAAGGCTGTGCTCTTTGATCTTCATCAGTAAATGTTTTATGTCATCTTCACTTTCAGCAGGCAAGCTTCTATCATCTGCATATCTCAGGTTGTTAATGAGTCTTCCTCCAATCCTGATGACATGTTTTTCTTCACAGAACCCAGTTTCTCCGATTATTTGCTCAGCATACAGGTTGAATAATAAGTATGGTGAAAGAATAAAACCTTGCCGCACACCTTTCTTAATTTTAAAACATTCAGTGTTCCCATGTTCTGTTCGAACAACTGCTTCTTTGTACAGGTACAGATTCCTCATGAGCACAATTAAGTGTTCCGGAATACTCAAATTCTCAATATTGTCCATAGCTTGTCACGATCCACACAACTGAAAGCCTCTGCATGGTCAATAAAGCACAGGTAAATATCTTTCTGATATTCTCTGCTTTCAGCCAAAAGCCATCAGACATCAGCAATGATATTCCTAGTTCCACGGCCTCCTCTGAATCCGGCTAAAACCTCTGGATATTCTTTGTCAATGTGTGATTGTAGCCATTTCTGTATTATCTTTAGCAAAATTTTACTCTCATGGAATATAAAAGAGATTGGCCGATGCTTTCTGCATTCTGTTGGGTCACCTCTCTTTGGAATGGGCACAAATATGGATCTCTTCCAATCAGTCGGCCAGATACTTGTCTTCCAAATTTCTTGGCAGAGATGAGTGAGTGCCTCCTGTGCTGCCTCACTTTCTGGAAAGATTTCAATTTTTATTCTATCAGTTCCTGGTGCCTTGTTCTTTGCCAAATCCTTCAATGCACCTTGGACTTCCTCATTCAGTATCATTTACTCTTGATCATCTGCTACTTCTTGAAACTGCTGGACATTAACCATTTCCTTTTGGTTTAGTGACTCCATGTATATTCCTTCAATACTCTCTTGATGCTTTATGCATCATTCAATAATTTGCTCAGAGAATCCTTCAATAACGAAAGTCGAGGCTTGAATTTTTCTTCAGTTCCCCCAGCTTGAGAAATGCTGAGTGTGTTTTCTTTTTGGTTTTTTGATTCCAGATCTTTGCACATTTTGTTGTAATATTTGGCTTTATCTTCTCGAGCGGATCTCTGAAATTTGTTTAGCTCTTGGACCTCCTCTTTTCTTGCATTTGCTTTAGCATCTCTATGCTGGAGAGCAAGTTTCAGTGTCTCATCTGACATCCATTTTGACCTTTTTCTTCTTTCTTGTCTTCTTCATGATTTTTTGCTTTCTTCATGTATGATGTTCTTGATGTCATCCCACAACTCTTCTGGTCTTCAGTCTTTAGTATTTTATGTATCAAATCTGTCCTTCAGATGACCTCTAAATTCAGGTGGGATATATTCAAAGTCATATTTTGGCTCTCGTGGACTTGTTTTCATTTTCTTCAGCTTCAGTTTCAATTTGAATATGAGTAATTGATGGTCTGTTCCACAGTCTGCCCCAGGTCTTGTTTTGACTGATGATATGGAGCTTTTCCATCGTCTCTTTCCACAGATGTCGTCAATTTGACTTCTATGTATTCCATCTGGCGAGGTCCATATGTATAGTTGTCTCTTATGCTGTCTAAAGAAGGTATTTGAAATGAACAAATCATTGGTTTTGCAGAATTCTATCATGCGTTCTCCAGCATCATTTCTATCACCAAGGCAATATTTTCCAACAACTTTTTGCTCCCAACCTTTGCATTCCAATCACCAGTAATGATCAATACATCTTGATTGCATGTTTGAGCAATTTCAGATTGAAGAAGCTGGTAGAATTCTTCTATTCCATCCTCACTGGCTTTAGTGGTTGGTGCGTAAATTTGAATAATAGTGTTATTAACTGGGCTTCCCTGTAGGTGCATGGATATTATCCTATCACAGACATCGTTGTACCTCATGACTGATCTGGATATGTTCTTTTTGACGACGAATGCAACACCATTTCTCTTCAATTTCTCATTCCCGGCATAGTAAACCATGTGGTTGTCAGATTCAAAATGGCCAATACCAGTCCATTTCAGCTCACTAATGCCGAAGACATCGATGTTTATGCATTCCATTTCATTTTTGACAACTTCCAATTTTCCCAGATTCATACTTGGTACATTCCATGTTCTGATTTTCAATGGATGTTTATAGGTGTTTCTCTTCATTTTGAGTTGTGGCCCATCAGCAAATGAAGGTCCAACGGGCTTTTCTCCCGCGAGCTTTATTCCATTTGTGTTTCTACAGTTAACTCTACTTTGAGGAGGCAGCTCTTCACCAGTCTCATTTTGATTGCCTTCCAACCTGAAAGCTCATTTTCTGGCACTGTATCTGACAGTGTTTTTCTGCTATTCATAAGGTTTTCAGTGACTACATATTGGGAAGTAGTTCGTCACTCTTTCTTCCTAGTCTGTCTTTGTCTGGAAGTTCATTTGAAACCTGTCCACCATGGGTAACCCTGCTGGTATTTAAATTATCAGTGACATAGCTTTCAGAATCACAGCAACTCAAGTCACCACAGTGTGACAAACTGACATAAGAACAAATAAATCTCTCTTGGAAGAAAGTATAGTCAGAATGTTCCTTAGAAGTCAGGATGGTGATAATTCATTTCTCATACTTCAAATATGTTATCAAGAGGGAGCAGTCCCAGTCCCTAGAGAAGGACATCATGCTTGGTAAAGTTGAGTGTCAGCGAAAAAGAGGAAGACTCCCAGCAAGGTGGGCCGGCAGTGGCAATAGCAATGGGCTCAAACATAACAACAATTATGAGGAACCAGGCAGTGTTTTGTATTGTTGTACACAGGATCGCTGTGAGTCACAATCTACTCGATGGCACCTAACAAACATCACCTTATTTGAAGGCAAAAAAAAAAGGGAATAATACTCCAAAATAATTGTGCTGAAAATATTTTTTGTTAAATGCCATCAAGTTGATTTCAACCTATAGTGACCCTATATAGGGTTTCTGAGGAGGAGCGGCTAGTAAGCTTGAACTGACGACATTGTGATTCAAACCAACTTTGCAGTCCAGGTCATTAACCCACATCGCCACACCAGGCCCCCCCCCCCCAAATAGAAAGGGAATAAATACTCCAAAGTATTAGTGTTTAAGTTGTTGTTAAGTGCCATTGAGTCTATTCCAACCCATAACGACCCTATATAGGGTTTCCGAGTAGCAGCTGGTGAGCTTGAACCGCCGACCTTGCAGTTCAAACAGCTTTGCAGTCACAGCGCCACACCAGGACTCCATAGTGCTTAAATTAGGGTAATAGAATTAAAGATAATTTTTACTTCCAAATATTTTATATGGCATAAATATTACTTCTATGAATGAAAACGCTAAGATAAAAATGTAGTGCTCGACAGCACTTAACAATGACAGCAAATAGAAGTTACAATTTCCAACTCATTTCATCACATAATATTAATTACCCTGATACCAAAAACAAAGGATAGTGCAAAAAATGAAATCTAAACATCCAAATTGTAAAGGTATAAGAATTCTTAGCAAAATATCAACAAATCAAGTTGAGGCATATATAAAAAGGATAATATACTATAATCAAATGGAGTTTCACCCAGGAAAAATGTAATGCTAAAATCTTCCAATTACAGACACATAAACAAATATCAATTCTTGGTATTTGTCCTATTGTTGTTAATTGCCATAGAGTATAGTGATGTTGTATAGGTGTGAATCACCAATCTTATGGTTAACAGTTCAGTACTTACCCTACAGTGGCATACTAGCTCTCCTACAAAAATGCACTAATAAAGGCAATGCATAGATCTGGTCCATTGGATATAGAAAAGTATCTCAGTTATCTGTACCATACACACCTGGCATGTATATTTAATAACTCTGACATACCTGTTTATAAAAAGTGCCAATCAAATTTACTTTTTATCTGCTTTTGTAAATAGACACTTGAACACCTCAATTTAAGTTAACATTTATATTAAAATATAGTCATCTTGTAGGTTCATTCTAAGATTTGAGCTAAACTCTAACATATTTGACTTGAAAGATAAAATCCAACATATCTTAGAATCAGTCATCAATCTCAAGTGAGAAACGTCTTCACAAGCAATAGTAAGTTTATACAGCCTTATTTTGAATATTTTATATTTTGAATACTTTCTGAGAAAAGAAGCAAACCTAAAAAAGCAGTTAATGTAATGTGTTCTTTTGGAATATAGACAATTCTAACAAAACAGACTTTCTCTATATATAACATTAGAATTACGTATTATCCACTGGCAGTAGTGCAGATCTCTAAGATAATAGAAGATTAAATCTTCTTAATAAAGTACCAATCTTATAAGCATTTGCAAGCAAATTCCTCCCCAGGCTAAATCAGGAGCAAGCTCTCAAGAGTCTAATATACTAGTCCCTAAGAGAGTTTTAAAAGGTTTATGCTAACACCATGTTACTTTAAAAAACAAACAAACAAACAAAAAACAACTATGGAAAATGAATCTTAAAATATTTATTTTTCCTAATTAATCTTTTCCTGAAGAAAATGCATCCAACATCCTAAAACGGAAGTAAAACAAGTGGTCATTTATTGTATTATTCTTACCTGGAACCCACTTAATTTCCATTTCCATATCATTTTCTTTGCCCTTCTTTTCTTTGTCTTGAATAACTTGCAAGAGCTGCCTATATTTGGCAATTTGCTCTTCATCATCCTTTTGACTTTTCTTTGTTTTCTCATCTTCTTCTACACTGACTTCATCATCACCTAACAACAAAAAAGTCAATTCTATTTAATAGAGTTAATCCACTTCTAACTAGTGTTTTGATCTCACAATCACTCCAATAACCAACTAAGAGATCCTGTTATATATACTGCAGCAATAAAGTATTGAAATCAGACAAATGTTTCTTAATATTCAATGATTTAATTGAAATACTAAATAAAATAATAAAAATCATTTGCAATATAAGATAACAGAGTTACAGTAGTATGCCTGGGAATCCCTTTCACTAAAATTTCTACTACAAAATATCTTGGAGTCATGAAACATCCGGATACTTCTTTTTCCAACCAAGTTGAAAGAGAGCAGGGGTGGAATTTTATCCCTCTTTGTGCCCTCCACCATCCAGTACAGTGGCTTTAAAATGTTACATTAAATAAAAGGAGATTGACTATTGTGAGATGAATCTGGTACATGAATTTAGCTATTCAGATTGAAGAAAGAGACAAATGAAATTGCATACAGTCCAAACCTAAGATTCCTGAGTCCTCTGAATTTCATGGCGAGAAAACATGCTTACTTTCAGTGTCTTGTTAATGTATTAAGAATAAAAATGAACAAAGTATTAAGAATAAAAATGAACAAAGAGTAAATTCAAGCCAATGCATGAAGTTTGTTTGCTCTGTATTTCCACTGGAAGTCAAAAACATAAATTAAGATGCTAGGTTTTAATGTAAAACATAAAGAATTCATTGAACTGATTAAATGTCCGATGTAAGAGAAAATTTGTTTAAAAGTGCCATCAAGGCGATTCTGACTCAGCAATCCTGTATAAGGCTTCTGAGGAGCAAATGATTAGTTTGAACCGCTGACCTTGTGGTCCAGTGCTACACCTTATCCAACAGTGGTACACCTGCATAAGGAAGACTTGCTTTTCTATGACCTATGGATTACTGGTCACTAGAAATGTCTGACACTATTAAGTAGTTAGCAATGAAACAATGTCAACAGATTGTTTTTATATCTTAAAAAAGGTAAAATGGAAAAAAAATTGATTAAATAATTATTTATATAGCCTTTTTCCCCTTCTTTCTTTCTAAATGAGTAAAAAATGGTCCAGGACATTCTTTCCATCCTATCATTCTTTTACATTTTCACTCACACAGCTGAAATTAATTTTTTTCTATTTGTGCTCTGTGCCACAATAATAATGTTGGATGAAATTCTGTCATGTATCCCATAATACGATGGATAAAACATCAGGAATAAATTAACAAAATGGCAGTGTATTTCTTTCTATTAAAAGCTTACTTCTGAAACGCAATTAGAAGCAAGCTCCTTCCAGGTTGAAATTTTAGTGGTAGGTCTCTGATGGCCTATTTTAAATTGATTTTTTCTAGTACCAAAATTTTACTTTCTAAAGCTCTAAATTTTGGGACAACTCACGTAGGCCTGCTTTTCCCCCAATTTAAGGACTTTGTGAAAATAATATAATACTTTGTAAAACACTATATACACCCAACCAAAGCCAGAGCTACTGCCACTGAGTTGATTGTGACCCTACATAGGGTTTCTGGGACTAAAGCTTTATGGGAGCAGACAGTCTCATGTTTCTCCCATGAAGCAGTTGGTGGGTTTGGATCACTGATCTTGTAATTAGTAGCCCAATGCTTATTCCACAAAGCTCTGTTTATTTACAAACACCACCAAGATGATCTACTAACTCTAAGACATTCAAATACACTAATGTGTCCATGAGAGATACTATAAATTAACTAAAATGTTGAAGAAAACGTATGCATTCAAAAATTTGAGTACTATATTTTTTAAAACTCGGTCTTAGAAAAAATTCAAACAGAATGCTCATTAGAAACAAGACAGATGAGACTAGCTAACTTACATTGGCCATGCGATCAGGTAAGATCACATTGCTAGAAAAGGACAGCAAGTAGCTAAAAAAGAGATTCTTAGTCAAGATTCAGTTAAAATGAAGGAAATCCTCAATGAGATGGATTAATACAATAGACGCCATGGACTCAAAGATAAATTAATCATTAAAATGACATAGGCCATTTTGTTGTTAAACATGAAAAAACCATCGAAGTCAGTACATAGTAGTTAATGGCAACAACACAGTTCAAACAAAAAGCTATTAATCCTTGTAAGTTCTAACAAGAAAATGATATATGGAGAGAAGCTGTAGGCAGTATAGGAAGCATTTTATGTGCACTAGCTCAATATTCCCAACTGTAAGTCAGGATTTGGGACCAGTAGAGCCCAAGCTTTTAACAAGAAACATATTGACAAATAAATTCTAATTGATTCATAATATCAAGTTGCTTTAATGTTAATAATGTTAGTTCATATATCCAAAGCCAATCAAAGAAACCTATTTGAAAAACCTTTATAAATGTACACAGAACATGTATATTGTTGTATAAAGAATGCATATCCTTTTTATCGTTATCTTGTATCTGTTACTGAAAGAAAAAAATGCAGAATTTTCATAAAAGTGACACAAACTACACATACATATGAATGAAGAGAAATGTACATGAAAAGTAGCATATCTTTCTCCACAGTATGGAGGAAAAGTACATAAAGAGTATTTGAAAAAGAACTTGGTTGTACTGTACATGCTGAGAAATAAAATGGCCACTCGATTGTTTAGAATGCCAAGAAATTTAACAAGCAATACCGCTGAGGCCATAAGAACTGTGAAGGTTCTTGTGCCCAACATAACTACCACTGCAAATCGCATAGTTTTTGAAAGGCAGTTAATACTCAAGCAATTAAGTGGTATTAGAAGTATAAGATGACTGAATAAAAAACCCTGAGTGATGGAACATGATTTCTCATTCCCTATGTGATACCTGGTTCAAAAGTACTGTCTTAAAAAAACAGAAAAATGAAGTAATATTTTCAACAGTTTAAAAGAAAGTTAACCATATCATTTACAAACATTAAGGTTTAATAATCCTGTGATAATATTAAAGAAGCATTTTATGATTTATTTAATTGGCTACTTTATATTTAAAATTCGTCCCTGGGTTCCACGTTTCCATTTGTCTGGTTTCCCCATTCCTTCTTGCTTTTTGGTCATTGGTTGTCCTTTTGGTCTCATATAGCTGATTGGTCACAGGAGCACATTCTTCCTGGGTGTTGTTTATTTTACAGGCCTCCTGTTAAATGATTGATAGGTGGCCTCTTGAGAGTGTCTTCAGTTTCAAGTTAGAGCTGTCTGAGGGTGATAATCTAGGGGGTTTCTCCAGTTTTGTTCAGGCCAGTACGTCTAGTCTTTTATTACTGTTTCTAATTTGAAGTTTATTCCACATATTTTACCATTCTACACCGGTTTCAGGCTAAAGGAGGGCGGTGGTTACTGTGGGTCTTTAGAACCTTAGACTAACTGCTTTTGAGAGTCTTTGGTTCTTCTCTGTTCCAGGTGTGAAGACACAAATAGCCGTTTCTTAGATGGTCATTTGCAAGCTTGTAAGATTCCAGATGCTACTCATCAGGCTAAATGAAGAACTGTATTTGTTATTGCATCTACTGTGCTGTTGGTTAAGTGCCATTGCAACAGCTCTGACTCACAGCAACCCTTATATAGGATTTCTCAGGCTGTAAATCTTTGGAGGAAACAGAAAGCCTCATCTTTCTCCCTCAGAGCAGTTGGGGAACTCAAACCTCCCACCTTGTGGTTAGCAATCCAAGGCTTGTCCTATATTCCACTTGCCATTGTTGTTGTTAGGTGATGACAAGTTAGTTCTGACTCACATCGACTCTATTCACAATGCAACAAAACACTGCCTGGTTATGGGATAGCCTTATAATAGATACACCGGAGCTCACTGCTGCTGCTAGTGTTAGTCCATCTCCCTGGGACTCTACCTTCACTTTAACAAGTATGATGTTTTTCTCCAGGGACTGAGGTTCATCCTGATAACATGTCCAAAGTTTGAGAGACGACGTCTCACCAGTCTGGTTTCTAAGAAGTCTTCTGGCTACATTTCCTTCAAGACAAATTTGACTGTTCTTTTTGGCAATCTATTGTATTTTAAATATTCTTCTCCAGCACTACAACTCAAAAGCATTTGTTTTTCTATGGTCTTCCTTATTTATGGACAACTTTCTCATGCATATGAGATCACTGGAAATACCAAGGCTTAAGTTAGGTATACCTTAATGCTAAAACAGGTATCCCTGCTCTTTAACACTTTAAACAGGTCTGTTAGGTAAGATTTGTCTAATGCAATGTATTGTTACATTTCTTGACTGCTACTTTCCTAAGTGTTCATTGTGGATCCTAACAAAATGGTATCTTTCACAACTTCAATCTTTCCTCCATTAATCATGATGTTATGTAATGGTCCACTTGTGAGGATTTTTCTTTTCTTTACACTGAAGTGCAATGTATACTGAAAGCTGTAGTCAAGTCCTTGACACTTCCAGCAAGCAAAGTTGTATCATCTACATATGACAGGTTGTTAATGAGCTTTCCTCCAATCCTGATGACATAGTCTACTTCATATAATCCAGTTTCTCAGACTACTTGTTCAACATACAGATTGAATAAGTATGGTGAAAGAATACAAATGTGGCATATACTTTTCGTGATTTGAAGGCATTTAATATCACCTTCTTTTGTTCTAATAACTAACTCAAACCATGTTTAGGTTCCTCAATAAAGTGTTCTGAAATAACCATTCTTTGCAATGTTATCCATAGTTTGTTGTGATTCACAGTCAAAAGCTTTTTATTTATTTATTTAAGTTTTTTTTACAGTGAATAGAGTGCAAGTTGACAGGGAAGATTATCAGTTTTATATTCAGTAAGTCATATTTTGCTTCATTGTAGTCAAAAGCTTTTGCATAGTCAATAAAGCATAGGTAAGCATCTTTTTAGTATGCTCTGCTTTCAGCCAAGATCCATCATCAGATGTCAGCAATGATATCCCTAATTCCATGTCCTTTTCTGAATTCAGACTGGATCAGTAATCAGAAAGACATCTATTGGCTGGAAGAAAACACCCATGAAAACATGA